TAGTCAAGGGAGGACTCTCTCAAGCTAACAATTTCCCCCAGGGTGTTACTCAGTTTATTAACAGGGTCTCCTGAACCACTGGAGCCCACCAGGTAACCAGAGACCCCACTGCTATAGTAAACACGGGGCTCTGTGCCAGTGCTGGGCGCACAAAGATAAGCCAGATATGGTGCCTTCCCTCAGGGAAAGGACGGACCCTCAGCCAAGGACACAGGGACGCCCATGCATGTGCTATGAGGATGCAGGGGCCATAAGGTGACATCAATCTACAAAAGTGATGGGATAAAGGGGAGGAAAGAGGGAGGCAGGAGTATGGGGCCATGCCAGACATTTCTATTAGCTTGTGCAAAAGCACAGCGCCTGGAGGAGGATGAGGGGACAGGGAGCGGGCAGGAGGATCTCTGGGAAGGTGCGTGAGTCAGCTTGGGACGTGCCCTGCACGTCTGGGTAAGGAATCTGGACTAGATGGTACAGGCAGGCAATGGGTTCTACCACAGGTGTTTCCAGAAGGTAATTCTCTGGAAGCAGAAAGATCAGTCAGAAGGGCCTGAGTTTAGGGCAGAGAGGATGCAGGTAGGGAATGAATTCAAGGGATATTTATGAGTCAGAATTGACAAGATTTGGTGAACAAACAGACATAGAAGGTGAAGAGGAGGAAGAGCCAAGGGTGACCCCGGTTTTGGGCTGAGTGGCCAGTGATGCGGTAGAGCCATTCACAGGGGATGATGGGGCAGAAGGGGCAGAGAGAACCTGGGCTCACCAGGTGTCTAGTTCATGCCAGGCACTGTGCTAGGCATTGTGCAACCTCATCTCTCTCAATCCTCACCACAGCGCATGAGGCTGGTGTCCCGACCTCGAGCCTCAGATGATGAATCAGAGCCTCCAGGGGCTTCAGCAGCTCCCCCAAGATCACCCAACTAGTAAGTGCAGAAGGCAACTCTGAGTCCAGATTGTCCTTTTAACTCTGCCAGTTGAGGACATGCTGAGGTTTGAGATGCTGTGCAGGTACAGATGTTCAGGAGGCCACAGTGAGCACACTTCTGATGCTCCAGGGGAGAAGCGGCCTGTAGGTAAGGGGTTTTGATGCAAGGACAGGAGAGACTTGAGGCTGTGACTAGATGAGATTTCTGCAGGAATGCTCCTAGAAAGAGAAGAGAACCCTGAGGAAGCTTCACAGAAGATGAATCAATAAAAGAGCCTGAGCAGGAGCATTCACAGAGATAGAGGCAAGTCAGGGGAGAGTGGTTTGATAGAAAGCAAAGGAAGAGAGGACTCAAAAAGACCAGCGAGGCCACCCCGTCACATGTCACAGGGATGTCAAGGACGAGGCCTGATAAGTTTCCACTGCTTTGGCAATTACCATCTTTCTCCTGACAACCTTCAGAAATCAGGATTGATTCTGGCATGCCCTTGTCCTCCTCGCCCCATAACTGTCCCCGAGCCAGGACTTGCCAGCACTCAGCACAGCTCCTGTGTGTGCTTGTGGGACTCTCGATTCAGTGTCTGGACAGGTCCACTGGACCGTGAGCCCCAGGAGGGCATGGGCTGCCTTGTGCTCATCACTACTTCCCCGGCACTCAGCACAATGCCTGGCACAGGATGAGAGCTCAATAAATATTTGTTGAATGCCTGGCTGAAGCCAGCTCTGTGCTCTCCCTCAATTGTCAGGAGACGCTGCCCCTGCCTCCTCCCCACGCTCAGCAAGTCTAGGGCAACGAGGCTCGCCGCTCTCCGCGGCACAGGTGATCAGCGGGCAGAGTTGCTGCAGCAGCATTGCTGAACCGTCTCAGAGGCCGCATCTGACCTTGAGCCACCTTCCTTTCTGCTTGGCTACGCATTGAGTGGTTTACTTATTTTTGCTGCCTTTCAACCTTGGAGCAGTGGGTTTAGCACAGAGGAAGACACGACGGTTGGTTGGTTTGTGGGGAATCTATTTCCCTTAAATAAGAATTTAACCAGTAGTCTGCACTGCACGGTGGGATGGTGACAGGGGCTGCAAGGAACATGGTGGCAGCTTCCCGAGTCAATACCCAGGTCTCTCTGAGCCTTTGAAAAAATGTTTTTCCTACAAACTCTGGCTGCAGGAGAAAGAGTGCAGGCTGGAAGTCAGGACACTGGATGAGTCCCAGCTGAGGCATTAGCTGGCCATGTCACCTTGGGCAAGTCACTCAGCATGTTGTCATTTAACATGTCCCCTTTGTGGGCATCTCTCCTCACCTGCAAAATGTGGAGATGGCCTCAGCTCCCCTCCGGTGCCAGAACAGCATACATTCTATGGCGGGTGGATCAGTGCTGCTATGAGGGGTGTGGTTGGGGGAGCACACCTACAAGCAGAGACTGCCTCCTGGACCCATGACAGCCTCCTAGAGCATTTGTCCCTAGAGCAGGGCCCCGTACCACCCTGCAGTGGCATCTTAGTCAGGATCCCTCTTGTTCTAGCCCTGGTGGTGCTGGCTGGGAAGCAGCTAAGACAGAGGTCTGGAGCACAGGCTTTAGGGTTCTACAAACCAGGGTACAGTTCCTCCATTGGGTGCCTGACCCTGGGCAATCACTCTGAGCCTCAGTCTCGTCACTTGTCCAATGGGAGCCTTCTTACCTAAAGGGGTCTTGTGTTGACTACAGGAGATAATACCAAGAAAGTGCTCAGCATAGGGTGACATAGAATGAGAGCACATAAATCTTAGCTTTTATAATAATAAATATTAGCTATGGCTTAGATCCATACATCATGAATACCTCAAAACAATTAGAAATTATAGAGACCCTAGAGAACTTTTCTAAGCCTCTAGTTGTAGAGATAAGGAAACTGAGACCCTAAGGTAGAGGAAGGGCTTGTCCTAAGACCCACAGGCAGAAATAGGACCATGAGCCAGGAGTCCCACCTCCTACCTGGGATGGATCCTTATGCTCCATACGCAGCTCCTACTGGGCCCTGGCTGGGGCAGAAATCTTCCCAGGACACCCTCAGCTGTGAGAATCCTAATGTCTGACTTAGCAAGGCTCCTTCCCCCAAACACTGCCTCATCTGGAATGTAACCGTTGCCAAGAAGGCTTCCAGTAGAGGGTTCTGTTCACCGCAGCACTCAGTAGAGCCTCAGGCGTGACTTGACCCAGGTCACCTCCCCATTCTGGGCCTGTTTCTTTAAGTGGGACAAAATGGTCTTTAAGAGCCTTCCAGTTCTGGTATTCCATGGCTTCAAGAACTGGGCTCAATGAACCATAAACAAATGGCTGGAAACCTCAGTTCACTAGAATCTTTCCCAGAAGTTCCTTCCTTGGGAGAAATAGGCAGAGCCTAAGAAAGCATAACCATCCACAGTCCTTGCGTAGTTTTTCCCATTCCCAAAGCAGTACTTGAGCCTACTTTGTCTCACTGGCTACTTCCCTGCTCTACAGACAAGCAGACTCAGACTCAGAGTGGCCTGAGGTTTTCAAGTCAGGACCAGAGGCCAGAACAAAGGTGAAAGGTCAGCATCTAGAACAGTGTTGTGCAGGGAGCACACCTTCCCTAACCACCCACCAACGTGAAACACAAGTCAAGACGAAGAGGTTTTGCCGAGACAGGAGCCCTGGATCGGGAGTCTGGAGGCCTGGGACAGCGCCTGCACTCTCCTCTGTCTGTTGCTTGCTGGGCCAGCCGCTCTGCCTGTAAAATGAGGTGATGGGATGAAAGGTCCCCGCCCCCTGCTGTACTCTCACAGTTCCTCCTCCTCCTCCTCAGACCCAGCCTACAGAGCTGGAATCTGTTTATGGTCTGCCCTCCACCCCTAAAAGACAGAGATTCTGCCTTTATTTGTCATCATGTCTTCCCAAGCCCAGCCCCAAACCAAAGCAGAACAGGCTTCTGGAAATGTTGAAGAAAGTGAGGGAAGAAAGGAGGAAGGGAGGGAGGATGAAGGGGCCTGAAATCCCTCTGGCATGAACATTCTATGATTCCACAAAGCTAAGTTCTAAGGCAATTCACCATCAGTGTCTATTAGGCACAGCCACATTAATGGTGGAAACACTACGGGGGAAGCAAAGAGAATGAATGTCTGATGTGAAATGACATGTTAACCCCTCTCAGCCTCCCTGAAATGACAGCTAACTTCCAAAGCACAGGCCCTGTGGGTCCACGTGTGTGAAGGCTGCCAGGCTGTGCCATGTGGGAAGTCCCACCTTTACAGTAGAACCCTCAGTGATGCTGGTGTCAGAGGCCGTGACGCGCTTCTATCCGCTAAGCTCACCAGTTTCATGCCAGTGCTTTCCAGCCCGGAGGCTTATGGTTCCAATTCAGGAACATGATATAGCAGGATTCTGCAGAGTTCAGGAACACAAAGAGGAATGGATCTTATAAATAACTCCTGGTTAAAACAGCTGAAAATAAGGAGAGAGAAAAGGAAGCAAATTGCTAAGCACTTATTCAGTCGATAACGTTGGCTTGAAAACCTTAGTGCAAATGGCTGGTCTGGTTTATTTCCTTCTCATCAGAAGATCAAATGCAGGATTGAACCTGGACGCACCAAGACTGCATGGGTGTTTGAGGATGTATTTGAAGGGTGTGGCTCTCCTCAGCTGACGGTGTCTCAGCAAAGATCCTAACACACCGGCCTTGCATTAGATCTCACGGAATTACTTAACCGACTCCGTCGGTTGGAGTGACCTTGGTTGATAAGTCCCTGGACCTCTCTGAGCCACCCCGTCTTCACAGGAAGGTCTGGCTGCTGGCTTGGCCTCTAAGCTCTGAGATTCTAGAATGCAATTCACGACTGAGGCCTTGGTATAAACTCAGGAACCCAAGTCTGATTTAAATATTGACCATGCTCACATGTCCAGTCTCCCTCTTTTTCCATTCTCTGTAGAGCCTTCCTTTAGCTGCAACAAAACCACTAAAGTTTGTGCTCTCTAGGATGCTAAAATTGAGTGGAAATGTGCTTTATTCACTTGCAATCCCCAGGGCCCGGATCTTGAGGTGGGGGCCAGTGGCATGCTACCGTGGGCAGGGCGTAGACACAGGGCCCAGGCCGCCTAGCACAGAGCTGACTGCCCCAACTGATCCCTGCCTCCCGGCCCACAGGGCCCAAGCACGGAACTGAACTACCGAGGGAGTGACAGCCGTCCCGCCAGGCCCTCGCACTGCCCGCGCAAGAGAGAGAGGAGAGGCGAGGTTCTGCGCAGGAGAGAGAGGAGGGGCGAGGTTCTGTTTGCCGGGCACGGCCAGCAGGCCCGCCGCCCTCAGCAGCAGCTGCAGGTGCCCGTGTGCACGCGGAGGATGCCGCGGCTGTGCAGGTGGAGGAAGTTGAAGATCTCGGAGGGCATGGCGTGGAAGCCCGGGCGGGGCTTGACGTTGTCATAGTAGTGGTGGGTGATGTAGAGGCCGGAGGGGTTCATGGGGAAGGCCCAGAAGCCGAACAGGTGCACCTCCTCGCAGAGCTCAAGCGCCGCCGTGGCCAGGATGAGGCCGGTGCTGATGCGCTTGGCGCGCACGCCCAGGCTGAGCCAGTAGCGCGACACATTGACCAGGTACTGAGGGTGGAAGTAGTAGACGGCCTGCGGCGACTCGAAGTCGTCCAGCACGTACTTGACGCGGATGGACACGTCGGTGTTGCGCGTGTTGTAGAAGGCGGGCAGCAGCACCGACGCGTTCTCGTACACCTGCAGCACGCGGTAGAAGGGCCGCCGCCACTTCTCCAGCTTGTGGAACCTGCGGGGGGAGGGGGTTGCCGCGGGCGTGAGAGGGTCCGCCGCCCACGGCCCGGGCCCCCACCCCCGCACACTGGGCTCCTTTCAAAGGACGCAGGGGACTCCTTTCATCTCAGCCATCTCAGCAGATGAATGTCCCGCCTTGCTGGGGACAGTTATATTTTTGTACGTAAATGCAGGAGAAGACAATCTGGACCCAAAGGGACAAATATCTAGTGTCAGGCTGCAGTGGTAGAGCAATGCTTAACCCAAATGGATGAAGGTGGTCCAGAGTGGGCTCAGGGGATGTGGCAGGGAGTGGAGGCTTTCCTAGAGCCCTGAGGCCATTCACCTGTACTGCCTTCCCCAAGATCCCCAGTGAAGGACACCAACCCCGGCTGCCTGTCCTCTCAGCCCTTCCTGCAGCCAGCCCCTCACTCACCTTTTTCTTTACATTCAACAGCCCTCATCTCACACCTGTCTGAATGCACCTTCACTCTGCTGACTTGGGAAGTGTTCCTGGACAAGTGACCCGACTTAACAACTCCCCTGCTGTCCCTTCCTCTTACCCTTCGTCTGACCTGGAGGTGTGACTGTGCCAGGGTTGGAGTTTTAACACATTAACCCCCTCCCCTGAGGCATCTCAGACAGACAGACAGACCCCAGGGGCCCGGGAGGAGGAGGGAGGCGTTGTGGTCTTTGCACGAAGCTTCTCCCCAGTGCCCCCTGGACACACAGCATAGGGAGCTGCCCGCCCTCCTCACACACTGGAAAGCTCTCTGGCCCATCTCTAGGTGAAGACAGTCTAGACCAGCACTGTCCAAAATAAATATAATGCAGGCCACATATATAATTTTAAATGTTCTGGGGGGCAGGCCCCATGGCATAGTGGTTAAGCGCGTGCGCTCCGCTGCTGGCGGCCCGGGTTCGGATCCCTGGCGCGCACTGATGCACTGCTTGTCAAGCCATGCTGTGGCAGCGTCCCATATAAAGTGGAGGAAGATGGGCACAGGTGTTAGCCCAGGGCCAGTCTTCCTCAGCAAAAAGAGGAGGATTGGCAGATATTAGCTCAGGGCTGATCTTCCTCACAAAATAAATAAATAAATTGTTCTGATAAGCACATTTAAATAAGTAGAAAGAAATGGGTGAAATGAATTTTTATAATATACTTTATTGAACCTGATATACTCAAAATACTATCATTCTACCATGTAATCAATATAAAAATTAATGAGATATGGTCCATCTTCTTGTTCATATTAAGTCTTTGAAATTGGGTGTGTGCTTTATGCTTACAGATGGCACATCTCAATCTGGATCCCACATTTCCAATGCCCAGTAGCCACATGTGACTAATGGCTACCATATTGAACAGCACAGGTCTAGAAAGAAGGCCACTGACCTCTCTGTGATGATGCTGGGGTTCACGGTGACCACGTCTGTCTTCACCCCCACATCCATGGTGTACTTCTCTGAGATGGGGGGTAGGTTACACCTACAAAAGAGACAAGGCAGCCTGACTGCATGTGGTTGGTCATTCCAGATGGAGCTGGGGAGCAGGCGAGGGTGAGGGTGCAGGGAAGGAAGGGATGGTGATCCTATAGGCAGAGGGATACCGGGGAAGCCAGCTGGGTGAAAATCTCTATGGCCTGGGTGTGGAGGGACAAGTTCGACGCCTTCCTCCACCAACCCTGAGTGGCCCAATGATTGTGGATCCAAGAGCCATGAGGTCCCATTGCCGCCTCAACCCAAGTCTCTTTGCTTAAGGTTTTTATTTTCAACTTATCTTCTTTATCCAGGCTAAAGCTGTAAGCAAAGGTCCCCAAAGAGATAAGAGGGGGCTCTACAAAAGGAAGAAGAAATACAAGGACCCATCTCCAGCTTAGTTAAAGCCAGAGTGAAGGCAATATTGGTGTCAGCCACAAGGCTGTCCTGGTTCCAACACTGCTTCTGGAAGGGTAGAACCCAACCAGGCAGGTGGCCACACAGACAATCTCACCAACAGATCTGCGTGGCCACGGTGAGTCCTCAGAGTCTTCACATCTGTTATGTGATTTGGTCTATACACACCTCCCATTCTGCAGATATGGAGACTGAGGACCTGAGAGGTTCAACCACTTGCCCAAAGGGACAGGGCTGGAGAGAGGAAGGGACAACCCAGAGCATGAGGGTCTGCAGGGGTGGGGAGTGGGGGATTGATCACTTGAAGGGCAGTATTAGGGCACTGCAGGGGGCACCCAATGGGGTGATGGCATGGAGGGGACAGAAGCATCAGATGCAGACCCCCGGTGGCTCTTTTACCGGAAGACAAAGTCGGCGCTGTTGATCTCCCTCCCGCAGCGGCTGTTCTTCAGGATGCCTCCATTGCCCACGACAGCACACTTCTTAAACTGGGACCGGTAGTAGGGCATGTCCTGGGGAGACAGGGGCACGGCTGTCAGGGGCAGTGCCACCCCTGCCTTCATCTGGTGCTCTCACCTCTGTACCCACATCCAGCTCTACTCCTCATGGCCCCACGAGACAGCCTTGTAGGGAATGTGGGAGAAAAGTGGTTATTCCACTTTGCAGATGAGAAGGGAGGTCAAAAGACTTGTTCTCAGTTCCACAGGCAATGAGAGAGGAGCTGGCACCGGAAGCCAGGTCTCCCCAGCCTTGTTCAATAAGCCCTGGGATGCCTCAGGTTTCCAGAAAGAAGAGAGTACAGGTCATGGCTAGCCCTGCTTGTACTCAAGCCTTTGGTTGTCCCAATGTTTGGAAGCTCAGCTTCTTTATGACTTCTAGTGTGCCTTTTTTAATGGTTAATGCAAATGTTCTGGGGGTGATGGCAGCAGAGATGGGGAGAGGGCCACCCAGGGACCAGGGCCCTAAATCTGGCCCTCACCCCTTTCAGCTCAGGTGACTTGCAGACCTTCTTCTGCTCCACAAGGAGGACACAGGCCTGGGACAGGAAGGCCATATGGACTGGGACAGATGCCAGGACCTGGCAGCAGCAGGGACAAGAGACCGGGGTTTGAGCAAGCAAGGCCATATCAGGGGAGCAGTGAGAGGCTGGGACACCTGGGGTCTCTGCAAAGAAAGCTCTGAGCGCAGGGGAGCCCAGTACTTACCATAAGTGCTCATGGCATTCGAGGGAGCAGCCAGAGTGACCACCTCACAGTGCTTTGACCTTGTCACACCTCGACTGGTGGGGTTATCTTGGTCTGGGCACTGGCTGCCCACAAAGGCTCCATGCTTTCCAGGGGACCACAGGCAAGTTGGCAGAAAAGAGCAAATACTGGCCTGAGAGTTAGGGACCTGGTTCCACCATGTCCCCATTCTAGGCCATAATCCCGTCCTGGGCAACATGAGGCAGGTAGAGCCATGCAGCCACGTGGCACAGGACAGGGGCATAGACCTGGAGTCAAAGGTAGGGTGACCAACCATCCTGGTTTGCTCAGGACTGGGGGACTTTGCCCAGGATGCAGGACTCACATTTGGCCAAAGTGGGAAAGTCTGGAGCAAACCAGGACTGGGCACTCTAGTCAAAAAACCCAAGTTTAATCCTGGTTTTGCCCCATAATGGGGTGAGGGAACCATGGACAAATTTTTTAAGCTTTCAGTGACTCGGTTTTTCCATCCGTAAAATTAGGATAATAACATGCATATGTCAACGAGATGATGTAAAACAGTTTCTCAAGTTGGCACTATTGACTTTTTGGACCAGATCATTCCTTGTTGTGGGGGGCTGTCCTGTACAGTATAGAATGTACTTGATGCCAACAGTACCCCCCAGTTATGACACAAACATGTCTCTAGATAATGTCCCCAAACAGCCCCCAGTTGAGAACCACTGGTGTAAATAAAAAGCCTACCCAGGGCAGTGCTTGACCCAGAAGGTCTCAGCGCAGGGGACCAGGTTGTTATAATTAGGTGGCCCCAAAGGTCCATCCCATCTCTGACCCCCATAAGGGTGCCGAGCAGCTCTCCTCCCAGCACACACCAGCCGGCCAGCCCTGCACAAGAGTGGTCCCGGTCAGCACCTCAGGCTTCCGGTGGGTCTCAGGGAAAATCACACCACAATGGGATCCTCAGGAATTAGGCTAAATCTGAAGGAGATGCTGCATCCGTCCGTGGGGGACTATCCTTCTTCAGGGCCCATTTTCCCGGGAGGGTCAGGCCCCGGGGGCCAGGAGGGGGAAAACAAGTGTGTCCCATGGCCAGTGAGGGAAACTGCACTGTTTGACTTTTACTAGAGACATAAAAAAAACCAAAGTCACCTTTGAGAGATCATCAAAGGCTCTTTATGTTCTGTTTCCCAAACTTCTGTAAATCAAAAACAACCTGGGGTACTTTCTGAAAATATACATTCCTGGGCTCCATCCCAGAATCACGGAATCAGAAAGAAGCTGTATTTTTTACAAACCCAAAGAAACACTTACCTTTAGGGAAGTTCAGGAAATACTTCTACATCACATGCTCTAATTCAGGGGGTGGCAAATTACGGCCCGTGGGCCACATCTGACCTGCCGCCTGTTCCTGTGCGGCCTACAAGCTAAGAATGGATTTTGTATTTGTAAATGGTTGGAAAAAAGTCAAAAGAATATTTTGTAACACGTAAAGATTATATAAAATTCAAATTTCAGTGTCTAATAGGAACTAAAGTCTTACTTGGAACAGCCACTCTCCTTTGTTACTTGTGTCTAAGGCTCCTTTGTGCTAGAATGATGAGAGTGAGTAGTTGTGACAGAGACCAGATGGCCTGCAGAGCCTAAAATATGTACTCTCTGGCCTTTCCAGAGAACACATGGCAACCCCAGCTCTAATTCCCTGGGCCCCGGCAGTCCGTATCCACGGCCCTCCTTGGACCCATATGTCATATCCGAGCTGTGTGTCACCCACCGGCATTACCTCGTGAAATGCAAGTTCACCTGCCGTCACCAGCCTCATGTTCCAGGCCTTGCAAGACCCACCTCATAAACATGGCTCACATCCCATTGTCCTGCGGCACTGTGATGTGGGACAGCACATTTGATCCCTCTCCACCTTCAGTTCTTCCCCGGGGCCCCAGAATGCCCAGTCTTACCAGTACATTCTGGTGCGAGTGCCAGCACTCCCCAGGGGAGCAGGGCAGCCCAGGCCCTCAGAGTTCATCCAGAAAGACCTGATCACGCACCCACTCAGAATTCCTACAAACTGGTCCCACTAAGTCCTGCCCTGGGCCCGGCACTCTCCAGGAGGTGGTTATGACCATGTCTCATGGAACCTTCCTCCTCTTCAGATGGTAACCACTAGAATCAGCTGAAAATGCAGGCTCCAGGGCCCCTTCTCAGAGCATCTAGTCTGATGCAGCGATCAGGCCAGAAGTGAGAACGTGTGCCTGAGGTTCAGAGGTTCAGCGGTTTGCTCATGCAGATCACTTGCTCTGCGGTCCCCTGTGACCAGGGAGCCACCAGGATGGCCCTGAATGATCAGCCTACCTCCATACTTCTTATATGTGAAAGGAAAAAAATAAATGTCTATCTTCTGCAAGTCTCTGATATTTTAGATTTCCTGTTACAAGCAGCCAAACCTATTCCTAGTCCAATCCAAACCCCGGTGTTACAGACAGGGAGACTGAGGCCTTGAAAGACATAATAACCACCCAAGGTCATCCAACTGGAGAGCAATCTTTCAGTGTCCTGCTTTGCATTGGTTTGTGATTTCTTGTGGACACAACCTTCGCGTGTTTTTGCTCTTATACCTCCCTTGGGAAGGGGACAAACACTTAATCATCCTCTCAGATAGCTTCAGGATGTCCTCTGCAAGCAATGCAACAGCCAAAATCTTAGAAACACTTTTGTGCCAAAAGTCACTCAAATAATAGCCAGTTGGCATTCATTGCTAGAAAGTGCTAGAAGGAACCCTAGGAACCCTAGAAGACAGTCTACTGAGCCTAAGTGAATGGCCAACCAGGGCCAGGACAACTGGGTGCAGAGGACTCAGCAGAGTGATGCCAAATGCCAGAAGGCCACGCTGGGTGGGCTCCAGCACCACCCCCCCCCAGACCGCCCTGTCCAAAGCAGCACCTTAGGAAACATGCGGAAGATCTCCTGATTGATGTGGTAAATGCCGCTGGTGTCCACCTCATACTTGAGCTTCGTCCCCAGGGGAGTGTTCTTCTGGGTGGTGAAAAGGAAGGAGGGGGCGTTGCAGCACCTGGACAGAGTGGACCTGCCGGGAGGAGACAGACAGGGAGAGACTCATAACGGGCAGAGCAGAGCCTCTCCAAGAACAGAGGGGTCATGGAGCCAAGGCTGCGAGGGGAGACCAGGGAGCACCGCCCCCTCCCCCCACCCCTTCCCACCTCACACCTCTGCTCATGCTGTCCCCTCCCCTTCAATACTCCTCCCAATGCCCAGGCCTTCCCTCCTCTCCTGACGCTGGCCTCTCAGGGCCCAGCCAGGTTTCTGTCCGTGAGCTCCCAGCTGCCCCCTCCCCACTGACCGCACCGGCCTCTGAAGGCCGGGAGCACAGACTGGGTCCCACCTGCTGCATCATCTGCCAACTCCCTCCCCGCTTGAATGAAAGCCCCTCGATGGCAGGGACCCTGCCTCTCCAGATCCCACACAATGTTAGTCACACGCACAAGTGTTTGACAACCAGCTGCCTGTGAATTGTGGGATGACTACTCCTCCTTCAGGCTTTCCTCAAGATCTGCTAAGCTTTCCACTACTTCCCTGAACATGCTGTTTATCCAGGCCTGATGGAAAACCAGGGATGCAGAGCTCTTCCTTCGATTCTTAGCCCCCATATCAAACTCTAGAGAGGCATTTACCCTGTCTGATGGGGTCACAAAACCTAGACACACATGGTCAACAAAAATGTGCAATATTTCAATCATTTAGAAACTGTCTTAGGAATAGGGGAGGGTCAGAAGTTGGGATGGTGGGTTGATACTGAATGGCTTCCTACAGAAAGTGGAATCTAGCTTCCAAAAGAAATTTCCAGGAGTTCATTATTTAAATACAGAAAAAGGTTCTTGTGCTTTTCACTGACAAAAACACTCAAACATGAGCTAGAGAAGAGTTAAGGCTCAGATGATGCAAGCAGGCTTTAAAAAAAATCTCCGAGAGAGAACGTGGCTGATGAGGCAGGCTTGGGAGTCAGCCAGGCCAGAGGAGCCTGATTCTTCTCTTCTCTGCAGCTGGGGTTCCACCCGGCGATGCATTCTCCAAGACAAGCCAGCCAGGCTTGGTGATGGTGTCGGATCCTGGGCACATCTCACTCCCCCTGCCCTGGGGACCCAAAGCATCCTCCGTGGCTTCAGAGGACCTGGACTTGACAAAGGAGGCAAACTGCCATCCTCTCATGTCAGAGGCTTTGTGCCCACGAGGATCCACTTTTTCCAAAAACAGCAGCAGTGGGCTGAGTGCACACTGGCCTTCTTCCCCCAACAGTGGCTCCAGGCACAGCCACATCCAGTCTCCAGGTGGCCCCAGGAGGAACGGAATACGTTCTCCATGGAGCCCAGACGATGACCCCTAACAAAGGTTGAAGAGGAGCTTTCTGGAAAATTCACACCCAGGGTCCAGGATGGAAACTTGGTTTGCCAATCTGGGGTCAAGAGGCCTGGGTTCTAGTTTCTGCTCTGTGTCCACCAGCTGTGGGGCTTCCCCTCTCTGGGCCTCAGTTTCCTCATCTGTAGAATGCAGGGTTGGCTCCTCCACCTCCGACCCTCTAATTCTGTGACTCCACGTTGCCAAAACCAGGAAGGTTATACAAATTATCTTTTATGACTTTATCTCTTGCAGGGACTTCACTGGGGAGCTCAGCTGGCTGCTGGCCACAGAGAGTGGTCTTCCCTATGGATGGTTTCAGAATATGATGAGGCTTCCCAGAGGGGAGGCCAGAGGTCCGGCCAGGCAAGGGACATGGGTCAGCATCACAAACCAGCAACTGGCCCATTTAGCTTTGCTGGTCCAGAAACTAAATCTTGTCAATCCACTGGAGAAAATCCCACTGAGGGAGACTGACTCATACTAACCAAGCTCACAAGTGACTGATATATAAACCAGAATGCCAATGTGTCTATCTTTATGCAGTAAGGTGAAGGAAGACTTCAGTTACAGGATTTCTTTCCTGTAACTAGAATACTCATGTCTGTGTTCTAGCACACTCCCCTACCCCATCCCCTTTCGCTGCACCAGGTTCTTGAGAACCTGAATTAAGAATCTCATCATTGTTCAATGAGCTTATAATAAAAACAAGCGGAGGCAACCGACTGGCCTTTTTCGATTTAGAGCATGGCAAGACCTGATGTCACCTCCCTTTCCCACACCTGAAACCACTCCCTCACCTCCACCCTCTCCCCTAGAAGGGTCTCAGCAACCCCAGAGCCTCTCCCCCAGATAGTGCTGGCTGATCCCTGCCAAAGGCTCCCGCACGTATCCGTTTTCTCTTGCCACATCATCCTCCTGTTGCTTCATTATTTCCTTCCACATATGAATCCCACTGAAGAGGCCTCTGTCCAGCTCTCGGCCTGCACAACATCCTCTTGCATCTCACTGACCTCGTCTGCACTGAATGTTTATCAGCCACACCCTCAGTGTGCTCAGGCCTCACCAGCCCCCAGGGGCTTCTGCTGTGCAGCGCCCACCGTGATGCTTCTTTCTAAGGGGCAGATGCAGGGCTGCACTTGCAACACAGATCTTAGACCTCTTCCCCCCTCTTCCAGCACTTTGCTCAAGTTCACATTCTACTTTTGTTTTGTTTTTTGTGAGGAAGATCAGCCCTGAGCTAACATCCGTGCTAATCCTTGTCTTTTTGCTGAGGAAGACCGGCTCTGAGCTAACATCTATTGCCAATCCTCCTCCTTTTTTTTCCCCCAAAGCCCCAGTAGATAGTTGTATGTCATAGTTGCACATCCTTCTAGTTGCTGTATGTGGCACGTGGCCTCAGCATGGCTGGAGAAGCGGTGCGTCGGTGCGCACCCAGGATCCAAACCCGGGCCGCCAGTAGCAGAGCATGTGTACCTAACCGCTAAGCCACGGGGCCGCTGCCTCACTTTCTACTTTTATGACAGGTAGGTCTCTGCAAAATCCTGTCAGGCCTTAGCTTCCACAGTCTCAGAGGCCTCTGGTTTGGGGCTGCTGGCACCTGCTCTTCAGGGCTCATCACTTTAAACATTCACATTTCTAGAAATGTGCCACTTTGGATGAATGGATAAAGAAGATGTGGTACACATATACGATGGGATACTACTCAGCCACAAAAAAGATGAAATCTTGCCATTTGTGACATGGACGGACCTTGAGGGTATTATGCTAAGCAAAATAAGTCAGATGGAGAAAGACAATTACTGTATGATTTCACTCATATGTGGAAGATAAACAAAGAAACAAACACATAGATACAGAGAACAGATTGGTGGTTACCAGAAGGGAAGTGGGCAGGGGGAGGACAAAAGGGGTAAAGGGGCACATGTGTATAGTGATGGATGGCAACGAGACTTTTGATGGTGAACACGATGCAGTCTATACAGAAGTCGAAATATAATGATGTACACCTGAAATTTATATAATGTTATAAACCAGTGTGACCTCAATTAAATAAATAAGAATTAAAATATGCCACTTAAAACTACTGCTCTGTCTCTAGACTTGGAACTGCAGCAAACCAGAACAAACGACTAATGAAGAAAATACAAAATCCTTAGTGTGATTTGCTTTTCACAGCCTCTTGTGTAGGATTCCTTCAGGCTGATAGCTTCCCCAGTACATTTAAACTACGACCTGAGTTGCCAAAATCCAGTTTATACACGCATCCCCAGGATCCTATCAATTCCATTAAATAACGTCTACCTGCACTAAAATAATACCATAAACTCACAGAATTTTAGAGGTGGTGAGGACCCTATAGTTCACCATTAACCAAAAAGAATTTTTGGACATCTGCTAGCTGCTTAGCTCTCAAAGACAGGAGAACTTTAAGATATAGCTCTTGCCCCTCTGGGAGTTTACAACCTGTCAGTTTTGGTTAGAGAGCAATTAGAAAATAACCTGCAGCAGGGCTCAGACATCTGGTGTAGGCTGTAAGAACCCGAGTGCCCTGAGAAGAAGAGGGCTGTTGGGTGACAGCCGCTGCCCCAGGAGTGGGGAGGGGAATGGGGTGAGGCCATGGAAGGTGACTGACAAGCCTTAACGCACAGGCCTGCTGGAGACCTCCAGCAAATCTCTTCACTGTTACGAGTCTCAGTCAACCTCAGTTGTACTGGAGACGACACCACCGACCCTGCAGGGCTACTGCAAGGACTAAGGGCAAAAAAGTGGAGGACCGCACCTAGCAGGGGCCGCCTCAGCCTGTGTGCTGAGCCAGAACCTGCCCACTGCCCAGATTCCAAAGCCCAATCAGAACCAGCTCCAGGGAAGATGCCCCTGGGGGCTGGGCCTTGCAGGATGAGGAAGATCTGAAGAGGTGGCAGGAGGAGAACCACCCAAGAAGAAGGGCTGGGGAGGACAGATGAATCACAGATACTTGAACTGGTTGGCTTCAGAGATGTTCATCGCCCACTTGCACATCTGGAGGCTCTTCCACCTGTCGAACAGCTCCGACTGCTTCACCCTTCGGGAGCGGAGGACAGAAGAGTGCATGAAAGGCCAGGCTGGACTACGTGTCATCATTCCCTAACATGCTCCCTTCCTGCTCCCCCATATGCCAAATCCTGGGCTGGTCCTTTGTATTAACTGTATTTTCTTGTTTTCTGTATTCTTGATGCTCTGGTACCTGGGGCCTTGCTAATTCCTAAAGATAGCAAACAAATCCCCTGCAAGCATGCCTTTCACATGCAAACCAACCAATGCAGAGGCCACACCCTCAACCACCTCCTTTATCAACCCAGCCACTAGCCCCTGTCCTAATCATCCCAGGGCCAGGTATCAGACAACCAGGGGCAGTCCCTATGCCCCAGTGCCCACCAAAATTATACATACTAGTCAGTCCTAAAACCTGTCTACCCTGCCTTGCCAATTCCTTCCCATAAAAACCACAATAAAAGGCTCTTGCCTGTGCTTTCTCCTCCCCCTTCTCCTCCTGACCAACCCTGGTGCTTCCCCATGTGGCCCTGCAGGGCATGCCATGCCTCCTGTGAGTATAAGAACTTCTTCCTTCATGATAGTCATTTCTGTGTATGTGTGTCTTACCATATCTGATTAAAACAAATCCCGGGTACATTTTAAAACATTCTTCCTCACATGCCCAACCCCAAGGGCCTGCATAGTTCTCCCAGGAATATCTGATTATAAAGGATGTGAGATTGCTTTCCTAATGGAATGTCTGTTAATCACCGACACTGCACTCAGCACACGGTAGGGCTCATTGCAAGGGCACACCCCCCTTTTTCTCCTTTCTAAGGGCAGATCACAATTTTCAAATGATAAAAAAGAAGAGAGGAGAAACCTGAGACATCCTCCTTTTGTCTGAACAATCATCTGCAAGGCTTTATGCCAGTCGGTTTTGAAACATCTCTGCTTGCAGTATCCTAAAGCACTGCCTGGAAAGGGAATGTCTACATCATATAGGATTCTCCCTTTGACTGAAACTAGCAAAAAGAATTGGATCATAGAACCCTTTTTCCATTGAGCAGTGCATCAGACTGGAGTTCCTCAGAAACACTGGGAAATGCTGGACAGATCAGAAGTTTCTGAAAGGAGAGCCACGACTTCTCTCTCTTGACCACCCACAGTCCTCATCTGAGGGCCAGGCATTCTGTAGCTGTTCAGGGTCACCAGGCTGTGAACCAGTTCAGAAGCTGGCTGATCTTGGACGCTGGTGCAGAGAGTAGCCCTTTAAAGAAGGTCATTCTGGTTTGGTCATGAATGGGGAAGTGACCAGCCCCCAGGAGCTGGATGTTATCAAAAAACTACTGTAACTGTGGTTCTTACTCTAGATCCACTGAAGGGCTTAAGTGAACCCATAACCCTCAGAATTATAGGCAAAATCTCATGTCTCTCCACCCACACGCACATCTTGGGGAGAATCTGAAGCTTTCCTCATCTTCCCAAAGGGGTCCATGATTCCAAAAAGAGGTAAATACTCACTTAACTGTAAGGTAAAAACTTGGTTCATTCTGCAGAGCTGAGTCCCTGTGTTTAACTGGAGGCAGAAATAACTGTTCCCAAACAGGGCTAGCCTCACCTCTGGAGGGAACACAGGACTGGTGTGGGGAGGGCTGATTGCAGGAAAAGTCATACAGGATAGCAACTAAGCACATGGATTTTGGAACCAGAGGGGAACTTGGGCCTCAGACCCATTTCAGACACCTCCTAACTATGGGACCTGCTTGGCAGCTTTAAAGAGATGGAAGGAGCCCTCCTCTCATCCTGACCTTTCCTTTGGGCTTTCCCAAACCTCCAACAGCAGCTCTCACCTCTCAAGCTCATGTGACATCAGAGAAAAGGTGTCATTACACAGCAGCACTCTAGCTAACCCACTGCTTCCCTCCTCTGCTCCCTGCAACCCACAGGCCCTTGGAATAGCACCCTACATGGCCAATGCCTCAACACCTCCTGGAAACACTGCAGGCCCGGCCCCGAGTTCAACAGTTACCAATGACTGGGTCTCATTCTCTGTGCCTCCAATGCCCTTGTCACACACTGGACCAAGGTCAGGGCCTGGATACCCAGCCTGGAATCCTGGCTCCAGCCCCAACTTGCAATGTGACCTTGAACTTGTCATTTAATCTCTCTGAGATCAGCTGCTTTATCTGTAAGATGGATATAATAACCTCTGCCCTGCCAATCTCAAAGGTTGTCAAAAAGATCAAATAAGATAATAGACGTAAAAATATTTTATATTTTATAAATTGCTTTACAAATGCAGAGATCATCTTTAAAGATGAAGGGTTGATCCCAGGCACTTATCTCCTTTCTCCCAAGATACCACTAACATTCCAGAAGAGGAATTAAAAAAAGTATAAACCTACCAGATGAATAGAATGACGGAGATGGGGGGTCTCAGTGGAAGAGAGATTTCAACTAGTGTGTGGAAGGAGGAGGAATGACCGAAGGAGGGATGGCACAGCCCAGAGACAGAGCCAATTGGCATGGAAAATTTTAAAGGGGGGTGGAGAAAATGAGGATCAGTTTCAAGTCCATATCCAGCACCATCAAGCCCACCCCCACAGCAGCCAAATATTTAATGTCGTGCAGAGGGGGAAGAAGGATTGAATCAGACCTTCAGTTAGTTACTGCCTACAAGAAATTTATCATTACCAGTGAAATGATCTGGGCACTCTAGCAGAAAAGGGGCCAGCAGCATCTTGAACAACTACCCTCAAGGAAGGCCTGCTCTCAGAGTTCCTATCAGCTTTGTATTGTTTAAATTTAAATATGAATAGATAACCAAGGATCACCTGGTCAACCTAAGGGAAAGAGACCAAGATAAATCATCAGATAAAATGACCACAGAGAAAACTATTGGAGGAACAAAATAGAACTTTAAAATATTCTATTTAGCGTCCCTAGAGATAGCCAAGAAGCCATGACATCCTTAAAATAAGAATCAACTGCTCTGAGAACAAAGAAAGAGCTCTTGGGGGGGAAAATTCATTCGAGGAGCTAGAAGATAAAGTCAACGAATGTTCTCGGAAAGCAGAAGCAAAGGGCAAAGAGATAGAAAAGATGAGATTAAAAGATATCAGTGCTAGAGGAGCAATCCAGCAGATCCAGAATCCAACTCTTAGATGTACTATAAAGAAGAAGTAGAGAAAAACGGGGAGGAGGAAATATAAAGAAATGTAAGAGAAAGTTCAAGAGTTTGGACATGAGCCCCAGATTGAGAGGCCCCAAAGGGTGTCTATCCTGAGGCACACCAGTGGGACATTTCAGAACTGTCATGATCTGAAAAGACTGCAGAGAGAAGAAAACAGGCCACCTCCAAAGGAACAGCTAGCATCATGCTGGTATAGCCCTGGATGCTAGAAGATGATGGAGAAGGTATTCAGCATTCCAGGGGAAAATGACTTTCACCTAAAATACCAACCCCACCAAACCAACAATCAAGTATAAGAGAAGAATTAAGTCATTTAGACACAGAAGGACTCAAAATCTTACCTCCCGCTCATCATTTTTGGGGAATTTACATTACGATGGGTGGAAGCAAAATGAAGGAGTAAACCAAGAAAGGAGCAGCTATGGATTCTAAGCAAAGACGAATCTGACCTAAGGAGCAGAGAAGGAAGACTCGGAACAATTGCATGTGACCCACCAAGAGGGTAGCCTGTCTGGGTTGGAGCAAGAGGATGATGGGAAACTCTGGGGGAATGCCTGGTTGATGGGGAGGCCGGAAAAAAAAATAGGGCATCATAGAGACAAAATTTTAACAAGGAAAAGATGTCTAGAAGCTCCAGAAAAAAGAAAAAAAATGTACAAGAAAGGAGATGGAATCATTATCCTCTGATATTCAAATTTTAGGGTCAACCTATAGAGAAAACCCCAAAAAGCCTTGCTACGGTTACAAATAGCAAGTAAATGTCATCAGCCTTGACATTTTAAAAGTAAACTCATGGATGACTGAAGCCAGAAGCTGGAACTAAAAAGTCGGGGTAATTTTAATAGCTTCATCTTACAAACTCAGGATCAAGAGATACTGCCAATATTTGGTAGAACAAGAAATAGGTTACTCAGGCAATCTACAGATAGAGGAACTAAAAAGAGCAATATCCCTCAACCTCGAAAAATGGGGAGGGGGATGGCTGTGGTGTAAGGGAGTTGAATCCTCACTCACCAAAGCAAGGTGTCGGTGAACACTGTGTGAGAGTGGTAAGTCGAGAAACAGCAGCATGTACATATTACTGAGAGGTATGGAGGTAATTACCAGAAGGGACAGCTAAGAGACGAAAGGAGCAGGGCTGGGGGAGAAGGCGTGGGCAGGGGACTATTGCTTTTTATTAATGATGGAGATTTGTTCTGAGAAATGCGTTGTTAGGTGATTTCATCGTTGTGCAAACATCATAGTGCATACTTATACAAACCTAGATGGTGTAGCCTACTACACACCTAGGCTCTGTGGTACTAATCTTACGGGACCACCGTCGTATATGCGGTCCCACCATTGACCAAAACATCATTATGTGGTGTATGACTATAACATAAGCTTTTTTATTCTACTTGATTTTTCTAGCCATGTGCAAGAGATGGTGACAAGTTATCCTTCTTCTTTCTCCCCCTTTTCTTCCATGGCCTCCTCTGTTTCCACCCAGGTCTCATCCACTTCCTCTGCCCACTCATTCATTTAACAAACGTGCCCTGACCCCGTGCAGGGTCAGTCTCAAGAACACAGAGATGCACAAAGGGGCCCCCCAGCCCAGAGAGCCCTGCCCAGCTGGCCTGGCTCCCAGCCTCTCTCCTGGTCTGAGTACTGAGCTCAGCACAGAGTTCTCTATCCCAGAAAGAGAGGAAGGGGTGGCAGCAGAGGCCCTGGGTGTGAGCACAGGCAGCAACTAGTTTAAAAATAGAGGCTCTAGAATGGTTTAAATGAAGCGTAAATAAATTTTACAATTATTAGTGACGATGCACTTTCGTAACAAATCATCACAGAGTAATTCCTCATGTATCTGACATTGTCAGAGACGGAGGCCTTTTCCATGTGGGAATTTTCCGGCTGACCGATCTTTACCACTGATTTGAGCAATTTTGGATCTGAATCATTCCCAGATGAATCTCACACCTCCCTGTGTCCTCAGACAGAATGCTGCTGACATTTGTGTGCCTGAAGGGCCTCAGAGTGCATCCGTCCAGCCCCCTCCCTCTATGCACAGATGGGGATTTAACCTTTTCCTGATGACTCAGAGTCTCCACCATGAGCACCACTCGTGGCTCTGGGCCGGAGCACAGCAAAGCCCGCGGGGGTCCAGGTGGTGTGACAATCCCAGGCCAGCCTCCGGGCTCTCTGACTTCAGCCCTGGAGGGCCCACCGACCCTCAGCTTGACGACTCACAAAAGAAGGCACTGGGCTCACTACTCCCTGATGACCCACCAGGCTTACACGCTGATGCCCCATGAACGGCCTTGGTCTTTCCTCTCCTCTCAAACCCCCAGCACCGCCAATGCCCAGACTCCTAGGGCCTGGGGACCACAGGGAAGGTGAGTGTCATGGAAGAGACGGGGCGGTGCAAGGCCCAGAGGTCACCAGCTGGGATGGCTACTCAGCTCAGGAGACCAGAGGGGGTGCCCCAAAGGCAGAGATGAGAACTAAAGCCAAACATGCAGACAACCAAACGCCACCAATATGAGTCTATGACAAGGGACAAAGGGTGGGCACAGATCATGGGGAAATATGAGGTTCCCCATCCCACCCCACAATGTTTGTGATTTAGGGCCTAGATAATTTCTAATTTCGTCCCAAAACGGAAGCTGTGATAGGGACTATTAAGGGCTGAATTGTGTCTCCCTCAAAATTCATATGTTGAAGTCCTAACCCCCAATATCACAGAATGTGACTGTATCTGGAGATAGTCTTTAAAGATGTAATTAAGTTAAAATGACATCATTAGGGTGGGTCCTAATCCAATATGACTGATGTCCTTATAAGAGGAGATTAGGACACAGACAGGACAGAGGAAGTCCATGTGAAGACAGGGGGAGACGATGGCCATCTACAAGGCAAAGAGAGAGGCCTCAGAAGAAACCAACCCTGCTGACACATTGATCTTGACTTCCGGCCTCTGGAACTGTGAGAAAATAAAGTTCTGTTGTTTAAGCCCCCCAGTCTGTGCTACTTTGTATGGCAGCCCTAATAAACGAATACAGGAACTAACACTAACATATAGAAAACACATGGGTAGAGGGATGGGAAGTTACATAGAAAAATGCCCAATTTACGGGGTCTCTCAGATCTTCCTGGCTAGAGCTCAAAGCAACCATGAGGAAATTATCTGCATTTTATAATTTAAAAAATTATTTACCCTTTGAAAACTCTAAGATATGCTCTTAACGAGAGTGCTCTGGCTTTCCACAGTGAAACATGCAAGAGCCTGAGATCCTTGAATTCCAAGAAAAGATCAAGACTCTCTGCTTATGAGTTTATGAATTTGGCTCCTGACTGAGGTCTGGGCAGCCATCTTTGTCACTAAATCACAACTCCTTCTTGGGGGAGAGTATCAAACACCAGTCACATTGTACCCACCCCCCGCCCCCCGCCACCGCTCCCACCTGCTTAAACCTTTCCCATGGGTTCCACTGCCCTCAGATAAAAATAAAATCTAGATCCCGGTCTGCACTGCAAGGCCCCTCAAAGTCTTGCCCCTGCCTGCCCCTCTAGCAACACAGCTTCCATTTCCCCCTCTCACAGTGGCATTCAAGCTGTTCTGTCCCTCAGAGCCTGGGACACAGCAGGCCCCCTCCTGGCTCAGGGCCTTTGCACAAACTGTTCCCTTGGTCTGGAATCTCCTGGCCTAGTTAACACCTATCGCCCTTCAGACAGAGCTCCAGTGTTCCTTCCTCAGAGAAGCCTTGCCTGACAACCCCCTCCACCCCCAGCCCAGGTGAAGTCCCCTGTCACCCCTTGCCTCCTTAGGGTGACCGTTATTAATGTCTGCATCCCCCGCTGGGCTGTGAGCTTCATGAGGGCAGAACGACGGTGTGTGCTCAGCCCAGGGCTGGGTGAGGTTGATGGTGGGTGAGCTGCCTCAGGTGTTTATCTCCAGAGAGAGTACAGAGACCCTGGGTTCATACAGAGACCACAAACAACACAGCTGACCCCATCTGGACGAATGGTCTTATCCTTGGAGCTTTCCTGCAGCTACTAAGCTTACAGATCTGAATGACAGCCCAGAAAAACTGCTGTTGCCGGTTCCAGAAAGGAAAGAACAGAGAGGGAAGGAAGGGAGGGAGGCACGTCAACATTTATTGAGCACCGTTGCGTGCTGGTATGGGTGTGGATTGCTGGGCTACCCACTTTCACGTATGTTATTTCAGCTAGTCTTCATGGTAACCCTTAAAAGCTAGGTAACAGTGCCCCCATTTTTATAGGTAAGAAAAGGCTCAGAGAGGTTCAGTAATTTGTATAAAGATGCAGAGCTGGTAAAGCCCAGAGTCTGCTTTGGATCTCAAGTCTGCCTGACCCCAAGGCCCACACTATTTGGAAATCAAGTCAAATGTCTAAAGAAGCAACGGCTCCTGCCTGTGGGCCAGGGATCATGTCAGGGGCCCATGAATTCACGTGAGCACCCAACACTGCCTGACTCTGAACAAGCTATATTTCTTCCACATCTAGATATAACTGTTTTCAAATAAACACACATCTTGTCACGATTAACACAACACAAATTCCTCTGAATGGGTTTATTGAATTCCTGGCAGTCCTGTGAGGGAGGGAAAGCTGGGGTAGACACACAAACGCTAAAATGTTTAGCATGTAACGCACTTTTCCTCCCACAGGTTATAAAAGAGCCATAGGCGATATATTGCTGAGTGGGGAGGGGGGAGCCCAGTTCTTCTGCCACTTGTGCAAAGAAAAAAAAAAAAGAATAGCCATACAAGGGTGCTGGTTTATGCACTGACTCTGGAAGGATGCACGAGGATATATCAGTTGCCTCTGAGGAGGAGAGCTGGGGGGCTGCAGGAGGGGAATTTTCATCGTACACCTTTTTGTACCGCTTGAATGTTGTATCATTTAAATAATAAAAAAATTTAAAAATTTTTAGTGAATATAAAATTTTTAAAGGCCATAGCAAGAGGACAACGCTTAACCCTCAGCACGACATACTGAATTTCAGGTAAGAAGCTCCCATGCCCTCTTCAATTTCTGTGTAAGAGGGGCCTGGCGATGACTATCGCAGAGACTGGTAACTGAGCCCGAGACTGAAACGCCTGAGTCACCAGAGGTGACCTTGCAAACTTGGCCTTTTTTCATAAAACAGGCACAATCATCCCTGCTCCAGCCCTACAGGGCTTTCCAAATGCCAGGGGCCCCGGGGGAGCAGACCTAATTCTTGCTCTATCGGGATCCACCACGTTTCCTGTTTCCTTCCGCCGGCGCCCGCGCCCCCACCCCACCCCCGCCCTGCCCCTCCCCCACATGCACCACTGTGCACCCAGCACCCACCCCAGCCACACTCACATGGACAGCACCTTCACTTCCAGGATTTCGTGCCTCAGCTCCAGGCATCTTGTGGAGTTGTATTCAAAAGGGCCCTCATAAAATTCAAAGTACCTGGGAATCAAGAGGGACAGAGGTTACTATGCAGAGAAGCTGGCTAGACTTTGGGGGGTCTGTCAGGGCTCTTTGGAGGGTCTGTTCTGGTCAAATAAATAGAGCAAACCAGCTCCAACCCAGCAGATGACCTGGTGGCGGGCTCCAGGACCACTGGGGCCCTCTGGCTCCATCACTGGATTACTAACAGCACCCCACTACCCTGGGAGTGTAAGCATTTACGGGGTGTGAACCCATTTCAGCAAATCATGACATTCAGAAGTAGGTCTCATTCCAAGTTCATGGCTGCAAAGGAGAAGGAACGAGGAGGAAGCTCTGTGCACGTCTGGCTCTCCCTCTTCCCGTGATCAGAGTCACTGAGCAGGCAGCCCCGGGAGTCGGGCAGTCAGGCTGCTGCCTACAGCCTGTCCTGCCCTTTCCTGCCCTTCTCTCCTTTCTCCTCCTCTTGGGAAAGTGTCACACAGTGACAGCCGCGAGCATAGCTAAGATTTCTACTGCTTTTCCTACCGTACAAGCATTTCCATCTCCATTAGCTCACTTGATCCTCATGCTCACACTGTGACTAGGTGAGACATATTTCCTTCTCCCCATTTGGCAGCTGAGAAAACTGAGGCTAAATGGATGGAGCTCCAGGTCACAATATCAGTGTAGGGCAGGGTCCAGGTCCCACTGCAGGGGGCCCAAGCCCTTTCCAACACCAGCTGGCTCCAGGCATGTCAGAGCCACCCCAGGGTCACTTCAGCAGCTTCATGCAGAATAACAATACCAATTTCTGCCAACACTTGCTGAGCCCTGACCACAGGCCAAGCACTTGACGTGGATGCATTCACTTTTAATCTTTATAACCAGCTTACGAGGAAAGTGCTCATCATCAGCACCAAAACAGGCTCTGGGAGGCGACTCACTGCCCAGAGCCACAGAGATGGTAGGTGGCAGAACTGGGACATGAACCTGCTCATTGACTCAGGCTGCTCTTGTCCACTCACTTACCAGGACAGCTGGTGTCCCCTGGAAAGGGCCCTCTGGCCTCCCACAGCCACACCTGACAGTTCGTACTCGCCCAGAGAAAGAAGAGCATCAACCCGTCTAGGGGGTGGGTGGAAGGTTCCCGCAGAGATAAAACACAGTAGTTCACTGCTGCGCTCAGCCATGGAGCAGGGGGATGCTTCCCAGGGCAGAGCCCAAGTGCACGCCCTCCTCACGGCCTCACTTTCTGGAGCGTGTTCAGAAGAGGCTGGGGCAGAGGAAGCTGGGAGGGTTTGGTCCCATGACAGCCCCAACACCAGAGAACAAGAAGCCTGCAGGGTCAAACCACGCTACACCTGCGGTCAGTGGCCTGGCGACAGAGAGCCCTGGACAGTCAGAAGTGGGAGTGGCGCCCCTGTAAGGTCACGACCAAGGATTTAAAATAAAGTCATTCCTCCAGCATTTCCCAGAAACCTCCCCAACATGCAGCAGTGGTCACTTCACATGTATTCTCACACGCCTGCCTTCCGTGTATGAACTCACATGTGTGCTGCTTTAGAAATAGGAAGGCAGTTTACCCAATAAATTAATTGGCTGCTTCTTAAAATGTTTGTGTTTTAAATAACTTTTAAATATAATTTCATGTTTAATACTTTTTAAAATTTTTATTTATAAATATTTGTTCTTAATTTTAACAGTCAATTTTTAAAGTATTATAATTACATATTTAGGTAATTTGAAATAATATTTCAAAATATTAAAACATTTTATACAACAAATTGGCTCCTATTTACAAAATAAGTTAGCTCCCTGTTCTCATGTCATAAAAGAATTGAAGCAGAGTTAATGAGAACTAGGCATTGAGGATCCCCAAAATATCACAGTCACCTTTTTCCCTCTGTTTCCTTTGTGCTTTGGAATTCCTTTCTCTGTCTTTCTCACCTGGCAAACTCATATTGATCCTTCAGTACCCAGCTCAAATGCCCTCACTTCTGGGAAGCCTTCTCTGACCCCAACACCAAGGGTCCCTCTGTATTATAGCAACTAATATCGCATTATAATAGTCTGCTTATATATCTGTTTCCCCTTCCAAACTATATCTTAAACACAGGTACTCTCTCTTTGTTATATCTGTACCTTCTGTTCTATAGAAGTCCTAAAGCTAAAAACTACATTTCCCAGACTCCCTTGCAGCTAGGGTTCTGGATACAATTTAGGTTCAACCAATCAGAAGCATTTGCATGAGCCTCTGATTCAGAGCTGTGTTATAGGAGAATGACAAGGCTCACAGCATTGTCTTGCTGGTGCAGAATGTGGCAGAGGCGACATGGCTCTTGGAAACTGTGGTGGCAGCACCTTTGTGATTATATCAGAGGCAGCAGCGGTCACGGTGGCCTCAATTCACAATGCAGATTGGGGAGGCGTTCCTGGAAGCTCACCCTAGGGTCTTTCTTCAGCTTTCCCAAAGATCCTGAGCTAGCCATACCCTCAATAATTCCTTTCTGCTTTAACTAGCTAAAATGGATTCTGTTATCTGCAACTAAGAACAACGGGTCAGCCTGGGACCACAAAAAAGTCCATGACCTTGCCTCTAATTCACTTCCTCTTCCAGTCACGCTACAGTAAGTGAGGTCTGGTGTCTTATCACAGAGGTCATCATCTGCAACCAGAGCCAGCGGCACTGAGCCCCTTGGAATCCACTGGGTCATCTGAAGCCATGATCTTAGGCCACTACCAAGGAAAGCTCCAGATTCAAATGCTGCCAGAAAGAATGAGGAGAAGACTTATCCTAGAGTTCTCAGGGAGTCAGGCGACTTGCAGACACATCTCAGATATGCCTCTAAACCAGCTGTGTGACTTTGGGCAAATCACTTCCCCTCTCTGGGCCTCTTCTTTCTCCTCCTTAAAATAATCTGTTTGAACTAGGTGATATATAAAGGCCCACCCAGCACTAAAATACAATCCCAAGGTTCCCTCAGAGTTTCCCACTCACTAACCAAGCCAGAACGATTCTGTGAATTAATGATCCACAAACAAGAGGAAGAAACTCTCAAAGGAAGTTAAAACCAAGCAGCACCTCCCTTTGATCAGCTAGCCCCTCCACTGCCTCCACAAGGCCATCCCTGCCTTACCTCCACCAGCCCTCAGGCCGCCTTTCTCCTGAACCCCCACATCCCTCATATACCCAACTAGCCAGGACAGCGATTCCAGATGGTCCTATGCTGTGTGTTTGGTGGCTGTTAGATGGGGAGGCTTCCAGAACTGGGTTCTCATCCCTTCTCTGCCCCTCATTAGCCACCTTAGGCCCATCATTTTTCTGAGGCTTAGTTTCCTCATCTGTAAAATCAGCATAAAAAATGCAGTCCAGGGGCAACCCCGGTGGCATAGAGGCAAAGTTCGCGTGCTCCACTTCCACAGTCCGGGGTTTGCAGGTTCGGATCCCAGGTGCAGACCTACACACCGCTTATCAAGCCACGCTGTGGCAGGCATCCCACATATAAAGCACGGACGTTAGCCCAGAGCCAATCTTCCTCAGCAAAAATAGGAGGATTGGCAACAGATGTTAGTTCAGAGCTAATCTCCCTCACAAAAAAAAAAATGCAGTTCATGTGAGGCAGGGTTGAGTTCAGATATTGAAGAGAATTTCAGGGAAAGCACTAGCACAGTGCCTGGCATTCGGGAAGTGCCCGGGAAATGTTCATTCCCTTTTTTCCCCTTTCTCCTGCCATTAACGGGCGAGAGCTGCCAGCGGATGCCCAGGGAGTCAGAGACTTGCTTATGGTCCCTCAGCTGGCTGCTGGCAGAGCTGAGTCAGGGATGAATAACTCAGGAAGTTTCTCCACCATCTGGATTGGCTGACATCCTCCTTCTGCTGCTATTAGTAAACCTCTCCCCTGCCACCCTGCGGATAAAGCCCACGCTGAGTTCTGCTCGGATGTGGGGATGTCCTTGATCACTCATCTCACTGCAGACTCCACAGAATAACGGTGTGTTTCTGATGCTTTGACATCTGGGGCCTTGCTGACGCTGGAGAGACTGCCCCTCCCAGGGCCGGCCAGTTCCTAGAGATGGTAAATGACTCACTGGCCTGGAGCACACACTTCATATGCAAACCAACCAATCCAGAGCTTATATTCCACCACCACCACCTCCTCTCACACTCAGGGCCACTATCCCCTCGCTGATCACCCTAGAGCCAGGTGCCAGACAACTAGGGACAGTCCCCATGCCCCAGAGCCCACTGAAATTATTCAAACTAGCCAAACCTGAGCCTGTTTACCTGCCTTACCTATTCCTTCCAGAGAAACCACAATAAAGGCTCCTGCCCACTTTTCTCCCTCACTCCCTCGGCCTCCTGACCGACTCTGGTCCTTCCCCATGTGGCCCCAGAGAGCACGGAGGGCCTCCTGTTTCTAGGGCTCTGCGAGTATACCAACCTCTCCTTCATGACCGTCATTTCCACGTCTGTGTGTCTTACCATCCCCGATTACGACAAATCCCAGGTGCCCTGAAAACACTCCACGTGGTACCTCAGCCAAGTCATCAAAACTGCCCCACCCCTGGGTCCAAAGCCTCAGTTTCCCCATCTGAAATGGAGCCAACAGTCCTTGCTTCCTTCTTCCATCCTACCTGGGCTTTGCTCTTTTGGGTTGTACTCTCCGTCTCAGTCTCCAAAGACAGGAGGAAATAAGATTGTGAGAAGCCCTGCCACACAGAGTCACCCCTAGATTCTGCTTCTGAGGATGTCCAAAGACTGCATTCTGGAAGAAGCCATGGAAATCCCTGTTTGGTGTGGATATAGACCATTATGCAGACGTCAGAAAGGATGCTTAAGTTTTTGTGTGTAATGATATGGGAAGATGCTCACGTGATAACATCGAGTGGAAAATGCAAGTTACAAAACTGATCCCCCTCAAAAATTCTATATACCTACGTGGATGCATGGGAAAAGGGAAGGACTGTACAAAATGTTAATGGGGCTTCTGTGAGTAATGGGATTATGAGTTATTTTAAAAATACCTTTCTGGATTTTT